CTCCCTGTCTCTCCCTCCCTCCCTCCCTCCCTCTCTCTCTCTTTCTCTCCCTCTCTTTCTCTCTCTCTGTTTCTCTCTCTCTCTCTATTTCAACCCGAAAATGGAGGAGGCTGCTGGCCCGGTCGCGGTCTGTCTTGTCTGCTTGCTTATCGAGAATTCGGAAACCGAGAAATGATTTGATTCGATTCGATTTCGGGGGCCGGAGATGGTAGCCAGTCGGGCGGCCGCAGCTGTGGTCCTTCCCTCCCTCCCTCCGCCCGCCCCGCCGCCCGCCGGGGAGGTAGGCCACCCATACCACGCGCGCGCCGCGCTGCTGGCGGCCTCCCGAGCGGCCCGGGCGGCGGGGCGAGGCCGAACCCGGCGGAGCCAAGCAAAACACAGGCAAAACAAATAGTGTCGGATCGATTTAAAGAACGTCCTAACCAAGGGGTACTTCATTTGAAAAAAAAACAACAAAAAAACATAAACAAATGAAAACAATCAGAAAAAAAGGTAAGAAAGGAAAGGAAGAAAAATAAGAAAAAAAGCAGGGAAAACAAGAAAAAAAAATCTGTGTACGCTTGGATTCTCAGTAAAGTACCTCTCCCTCGGTCCTCCTGACCCTCCCTCGTGCCTCACGCCCCGGCGGCGGTGCTCCCTGTTGCAGCTTCGGGCCATCTTCGAGAAGCGCGCGGGCCAGTGGGGCATCGCCGACGGCATCGTGCAGCAGGCCATCCGGCGGGCCGAGTCCAACGTGGCGTGGGCCGACGAGGCCTTCCCCAGCATGGAGGCCTGGCTCGAGAAGTACCTCGTCAACATCAAGAAGGAGTAGGGCTCGGCGCGCACCCGCGCCCGCGCCGCCGAGCCACCGGCTGCGGGACGGCCGACTGTGAGGACTCGGCGAGCACGCGGGTGCCTGGCCGATTTTCGTTTGACGACGCGATAATGTCGACGCTCAGTATCTTGAAAACTGTCCGAAAAACGCCACAAGTCGCACGCGTTTCGATAAAATGGCGATGTCCGCGCGCTGCTGACGATGCCACAAAAAAAGACACGCACAATGATTCACCCTCTAACATGATAACAGACGCATCCATGAGATTGATTCGTCCTCTCAAATATCTCCCTTTTCACCTGTCTGACCCAACCATCCAACCCACACCAGACTCGTGGCAGGTAGTGGTCTTCACAGTCGCAAAAATGTTTTGTTTTTTTTCTACACAGGAATTCCCTTTGGCTTATGCGCGGACTTCCCTTAGCTTTTCCTGTTTCACGTAAGAGAAAAAAATAAAAAAAATTCTCCGGTTCGTTAGATACACAGAAACAACAACAAAAAAACACTCCCATCAGAAACTGTCGGCTGTGATGTTACTTTTTTGAAAGAGGGTAACATTTATGACCTTGTCGTCAAAAAAACTATACCTGAGGACACCACTACTACTATTACTCTTCAAACAATGTCATGACAAGTGCTCATTGATGGTGATGTTAGCAGTAGCTATAATTATATTGATAAGCAACTTAGACTGAAAACTTATGTTACGGTAATAAAGAAACCTTTTTTGAGTACTTGTAGGTAATGTATGAGTGCACTACCTGTCTGCAA